TGCTTTGTGTTGTGATAATTAATATTCAGTATTGCTGATACAATAATTAATGCTATCAGTATAACAATATGTCCTCTTGATGATCAATATATTGATAATATTGTACATCCTTATATGGTATGTGTGTGTGTGTGTATAATTTGTCATTTCCTCTCTCTCTTTCTCCAGCTGGTCATTTTCACGATTCTGGCGTACTGGTTGAACTGTGCGGACATATTTAAATATTTTTATCACCTCTTTTATAAACATTTTTTATTAAAAATTGTTATTATTATTATTATTATTATTAAAGTGCTTTTATTTTTTTGTCTTTTTCTTTCTTTTTATCTGCTACTTTTTGAGAGAAATATGTTGTGAATGGAAACAAGACTGACTTGCTGAAATGGAGGAAGGTCAGTTAGAGAAAAGTTATTAAAGACTGAGGGAGAGATAGAAATAAAGGAGAGGGAAATAGAAAGAAATGATGACAACAAAGAGAGAGACAGTGACATGAGTGTGTGTCAGTAAGAGAAGGAATGTACAGTATATACTGGAGAAGGAGAGAGAGAGATTGATGAGAGATCAAGAGATGTTCATGTGTTAGATTTATGATAATATAATGTGTCACTGGTCCACCTTTTATCATGTAAAGTAGTGTATTCTGATTGGTTGCTTATTGGTGAAGATGAACTGACTTGGTATAATAATTTCAAAAGACTATGATTTCACATGAAGAGTGATTAGTACCAGTTTACTCTGTCTTGTATGAGGTGATAGTTAGGATAAGTATTAATACAAGTCTCTTTGTGTTGCTCATCTAGCCTGAGTCTCCTTATATTCTTATTATCCATTAGTGACTGGAAGATGAGTAGTATTGACTTAGTAGACAATGAAGTCTTCCTTAGATCCAGTCCAACTAGTGATGAGTTATTGAGGAGGAGGTGAGAAAGAGCTTGTCCACTAGTAGAAGTGATGAGAGGATTACGATGAAGATCTAATGAGGTAAGTGTAGAGTTGTGTTCAAGTGCTTGACAGATATTAGTAACTCCTCTATCACTAATGGAGTGGTAATTGATGACTAGTTCTTGTATTGTTTTATTATTAGTTAGTAGTATACACAAGTACTGGATACAATTATTAGTTAACGGAGTGGTCCATATCTCAAGACTCCTCAGGTTTAGTGTATGCAGTTTAGTTGATGATAGTAGAGATACTGTACTATTAGTAGATGAGTAGCGGAGGTCAAGCTTCTTAATATGATTACTATTAATATTACTAATCACTTCATTACACTGAACTGGAGATGGAGACTCAAGGTATACACTGTCACTGCCCCAGTCCACTCTCCCAGTGACTCCTAATAAAACACAAATATTAACATCACATATACACATATTCACATCATGTGTATACAGACACACACCACTGACAACTTGCATAAACAAGCCTTAGAGTAAAATTAGATTCAGAATCGATATTAGTATATTAATATACACAATCCCTAAGTATTCACGTATACCTTACATTATATTATGCTTACATGTATACAATATACATGCAATTTACATGTTCATGAATTATCATACATACACTTACAACAAAACTACTCATCAACGTAATTATTCTGTCACAATAATGACAAATATTACCGTATGGGTAAAAAATTTCGAGGGTAAATTTCGTGTTTTAGTGAAAAGCTCTTAATTCTTTAATTTTGAGGGGGTTAAATTCCGCATTTTTGCATGTGCACTAGCATTAAGTCATTGATGTTCATGTGCTGTGCATGCACAGTGAGCATTTCCATGGTATTAATTTTTGCAGTTGAGAAGTCACCCATGAAATCCGCAAAATTTAATACTCCACGAAATTTTATACCCGTACGGTATACCTTTATCATGCTGTTTTTTGTCTTGTCTCAGTGCAGGTATCATAATAGGATCATCATTAATAGTCTCCATGAAAACAAAAGCTTTCTCATCATTACTAGATGTATCATTCCTTATCTTTTGTAGAATAGGAAGAGACACTTCTTCCCCTGACAGTATAAACTCTAACAATTGAAGTGATTCCAACATTGAATAAACACAACTACTAGGAATGACTCCCTCATCAC